TCCCTCCTAAATTAAATCAAAGCCTAGATGGTAGCAGATAAGATACACTTCTTAGAAGCATCGTTCTCACAAAAGTATTACAAGGAGTAAATAACAGAGGGAATTATGAAAAAGCCATGCTAAAACTGGAATTAAGCACTTTGGTGATTGAGTACAACTGTGACAGAGGTCTTGCTGGAACCGCGTGAAAGCGGAGTGTGTCCATCTTCGCACAGTAAAATAGCAGGCAATTTAATAAGTGTCTCTGAGAAAATGATACAAAATAAGGCTACACACACATAGGTCTGGAAATTATTGATATGAATGTTACGGTGTCCCGTACATCAGCCGGGATGAGTGGCCTAGAAGATTAAAAGTATATTAATATTGAGGATAAGCAATACCAAAGTAGATAGATATAGTATATTTAATGCACATAAAATGAAATCTGATTTGTTTTCACAATACAGTCACGAGTTTAGATTTTGAGGAATAAATGTTCTCAAAATGACATTACAGTAGAGCTCATCTAATTGTTTTTGTTTTATTCTTTTTGTTTCTTTCAGAAGGGGAGTACACTACACCTTTTGCAGGGATTTAATTCCTTTCAAATGTACCACTTTTGTATTTATAAAACTATCGTCTATATCAAGAGTCACGGTGCATAATAAAACACAGTAGAAGGATCTCGGCTAAGTTTAGGTGGCCTGACCTCCATTAAGAGGCAAAGACACAAGTGGGAAAAAAAAGAGTCAGAAGCATTTACTCTTCTCATGCAATGCTACATGCACGCAAGCACCCCCCCCCCCCCACACACTTGTTTATGTGCACCCAAGTGATATACCATGATGGAAGGGCACCTTCCTGCATTCTGTCATTGGAGGGGACACAAAGTCTTTTGAAGCATTGTTAAGGTCCTTTCGAGAGGAAACCCTCATTATTACCCACATGTACTCAAATAAGAATGTACGGCATACCCATCACAATCACAGTATTGAGTAAAGAATAAATACATTTAAAAACTCATTCAACTAGTTATGTGAAATGACTTAATTTTACACAGACCAGTGAAGATGTCAGGGCTCTGTTTTCGTAAACAGCGCACATGCGCTCTGGCGTAAAAACTAACGCATCTTGAATTTTGGTGTCGGTGCAAGCCCCAATTAGTGTAGCTGGGAGGATGGTCGACCACGCTGTGCCATGTTGGGCATCTTGGCGGATTGTGTTATTTTACATGTCCCCAGTACACTTGATGATTTGGTGAATGAAAGTAGACAACATTTCACCCCTGATGGAAGCTGGTCTAAGTTGTGGCGCAGGTGGTGTAACAAGATTTTGGTGAATATTGGCACTTGTGTGCTGGATATCATCGTATTTCATTCATAAATATAACAACGGCTTGCATCGAACACTTCTGAATCATTGCAGGAATCTAATTATTGAATGCATTATTATTTTCATCATCTTTAATATGTATTAAAATGGAGATAGTACATTTATGCTTTCATTTTTGTGTTTTATTCACGGCTGTAATTGTCAAGCAATATAGTGTTTGTTTGCTAATGTAATGTACGCAATTATGATACATTGATGCACCATTGCTAACTTGATTGAGTCATCACATTTCAAGGCAAAAGCAAGGAGCCAATCATCAGAGCCATTGTTGTGGACCATGCACACTTGTATAAGCTGTGTAAGTCTAATAAATATTCATGCCTTACAGTATATGCACTACAAGTACAAATGTCATTACCTGTGTAAGCATTTCCTCTTTTGAAGATTTTCTTGTTCTCCGAGGGCTTCACATCCCAGCACGAGCTAACTCAGCGGTGGTGAGCTCTGTCTAAATATAACGCCACTTGAAAACAAGCTGAAACACCAGATGCCCTTTTACTTTGAAGAATTCCAATTACTGTCACTGCTTTGTCTCTTGTGTGTGTTGTGTATGTGACACTGAGATGTTTCTGTACACAAGGACTTGGATTCTCTGCTAAAATGTAAACCTTGTGCAGTGTAACTCAGCTTAAGCAGACTGTGCAGCTTTGTAAGGATCTATGTCGTTACTTAGAGGAAGTCAACATTCACACGTTGAGCATGTGATTGGACCAATAGCAAGTTGACAGTACTTTCCTGAGAGTTTTCTTGTTTTGGTTGTCATTGCCGTAGAAGTTAAGGCAACTCTTGCATGGTGCTGATATTCACACTTAATTGAATACACGTTTTAACTATTTAGCAGAAGTCAAACCTGCAGTATTTTACAAATTATTCCTGACAAATGAATGAATGACCCATCAATAGTTGACGTGTAGTACTAATAAGGATATGTGAGTCACATGAGACGAAGTGTGCTTGGACCCTTTAAAGGAGCTATATTAAAACAAGTTATCAATTCGTTATCACTGGCTTTAGAAGTGTACTGATTGGCATAAAACGCGACCTGTGAAACACAGGTGACAGAATCATTGGGTTTTTATCCATTCATCCATCCATCCATCCATTTTCTGATCGGCTTATCATGACGAGGGTCGCAGGGCATGCTGGAGCCTATTCCAGCTGTTTTCCAGCAGTAGACGGGGTACACCCGGAACTGGTTGCCAGACAATCACAGGACACACAGAGATGAACAACCATCCATGCTCACAGTCACAACTAGGGACAATTTAGAGTGTACTGGTTGGTACATGATTGTAATGGTTTGCGCCGTTGTGAGCGTGAACACAGCTGACTTGGTTCCTGGCCAACGGAAGAAGTCCTCTTATCCCCTTTAAATTCAGCGCAGGAGAAGCGCACAGCCTCCATGGCAGGATTCCATGCAGGAAATCTACACACGCAAAGCACTTTTTTAAGGAACTGCAAGAACATCTCCCCTTGCGGATGATGTAAAGTTGGCCAGCGCAATCACATATCATTGCTGTGAAGTAGTTACTTGGAGACGACATTCCAACTGATCGCTTGTGTCCATGGTTTCAAACACACTGAACAAGGCTCACACAGCACAAAAATCAAGATACGCCAATTTTACCTTGCACGAACGTGCTCTGTCGACAGAAACAGAGCCCAATCACAATGACAAGTTAGTGAGCTCATCAAATAATTAGTGGCACTAATTATTGACTTTTTGAGTCACCCATGACATTTAAGTGACCTAATCAACCAATCCCTAATACTGCATTTAATTTCTGACATGTGGATTGACCAACGATCGGCGAAAAATAGTTTTGCCCAAACATCGTCAATGAACAGTCTGTGATCGTAGATGTTGATGACACCTTCTGTGTTACTGTATTTATTTTAATCCTCTTTGTGAACGGTGGCCTTATGTCCTTAGTTTACTGTGGTTCCCTATGACATTTATCTCAACGCCGCATGATTGAACCGCGGAATCAATAGTCATCAGTGGGAAGTGAAAGAGCTGTAATTAATTGCTATAGTCTTGCTAGCTTGCAGAAAAATGGAGTGCCCCTTCCCCTTGTTATGTACCTACAGGATATGTACAGAGGCTTCCCGTTTCGAAATTGCTTTGGTGCAGCGACAGACCTTTATGGCCCAGTTAAAGGTGGGTAAATCATATAAAGTCGTTGGTTCGGTGGACAATGCAAGAACCGCACCCTGTTTCCTCATTCCTGCAGGATAAATCTTCCTTAACACAAAAGAGCCAATCTGGATTCAATTACTGAGCGTCCAGTAGAGCGCAATTTATATCCAAACCTTGCTCGCAAGATGGACGAGTTCACAGGGTTGCTTTATAATTAGCAGTTAACCCTTCCTGACCTTCCAATCTAGATTTACTGTCCAAACAGCAAATAGCTTTCATGTTCAGTGGTTGTCATGGGGGCAAAGCGGCACATGTGTGGAATATGCATCAGTGTTTACATGCGAACAAAGAGCGAAAATTAATCCATACTTATCCACTGCTGGATTAAATGTCATGTGGAGAGCCTAATACAAGCAACAATTGGGATGTAAATGGGATGTTTCAAGCTTCTTTAATCCCTGCTGGTGTCAAGTATGCTGCCCAAGCATGCAGTATTGTTACCATGCAGATTGGGTGGAGTAAAAAGGTAAATAGTACCATTTTTGGTGCACCCTAATTATAAAAAGGTTGTGTATTCAGGAATTATGTGTTTGCGTTAGAACAGTCTTTTTTTGGCATACCCTCAAACTGTTGAAAAACGTATTCATATTCCACTGTAACTGGTATGGCAAAGAAAAAATCCCCGACTGTATTTGGTTACCTTGTGAGCACTGTTTTCATGCACAGGTCCACATGCGCTTGGTGTAAAAACTGGCACATCTTCATATTTGTGCCGGGGCAAATCAAGTTTCCCTTGTTTGGGAATTTGGCAGATCGCGCTGCACCTTGCTTAACATTTAGGTGGACCGAGGGTGCTTTTTATTGCATGATGTTGGCCTACCTGACAGTTTGGTGACAGAAAGTCGACTTTAATGTTAGGAATCAGGTGTTTATCTGTCCTGTATTTTATTATTCTTCATATGTGCGTGAGAGAGACACCATGGGTGTGATGAGTGTACTGTTTGCTGAACTCTTTTCAGTTCTTACTCTCAGCTGGGTCTTGAATTGCAACTGTGCAGTGCTTTGAGAAATATTTTCACACCAGCTCTATGTAAGAGTGGGAAAACACTACTTGACACTTATAAGTAACATGTTAGATTATTACTAACCTCAAAACTTGAAGTGATGTGTTACCAGCATTTCTGATGTGATGATATTTTATTAAGAAGTGCATACAACTGATCTTGGATTGATTTCCACTCAATCCTCCATGAAGAATCACCCTGACAGTGAATGACAAGTGGCGGCCAATTCAGTGCGTAGCCTGCCTTTTGCTCGGAATCACCTGGAATACGTTCGAGATTTCCTGCTGCTTTGTAAGGGAAATGAATGGATGGATGTTAGGGCAGGGCAGGGATTCAAATATCTGCTTTTTGTGCAGCTGGTTTTGGATCAGTTTCCCAGTGCTCCATTCTGAACGTTACTTTCCATTTGTCTCCCCAACCAGGTTTTACTGGGATTTGACCATGCTGCTGTTAATGGTGGGAAACCTCATCATCATCCCCGTAGGCATCACTTTCTTCAAGGACGAGCACACGCCCCCCTGGATTGTCTTCAACGTAGTATCGGACACCTTCTTCCTCTTGGACCTTGTGCTGAACTTCCGGACGGGCATCGTCAAGGAGGACAACACGGAGATCATCCTGGACCCGCAGCAGATCAAAATCAAGTACCTTCGCAGCTGGTTCGTGGTGGACTTCATCTCCTCCATCCCGGTGGACTACATCTTCCTCATCGTAGAGACGCGCATTGACTCCGACTTCTACAAGACTGCCCGCGCCTTGCGGATCGTCCGCTTCACCAAAATCCTCAGCTTGCTTCGCCTCCTGCGCCTCTCCAGACTCATTCGCTATATCCATCAATGGGAAGAGGTAGGAAAAGCCCCCCGAGAATTGCTACATCTTGTGATTCAGGGGTGGAGGGTGTCAGTTTTGATTTGCGTATCCAGAGATACAGTTCATGTTCCTGCCATGTACACCGTGCGCCTCTCCTGTGGTGAATTTAAAGGGAATGAGAGGAGCTGCTTCCATTGGCCAGGAAGCAAGTAAGCTGTGTTCCCTCCCACAGCAGCGCACACGACCGTTAATAACTACCGTGCGTCTTCGAAAAAGAAAGAAAACGCCACCCATGCACACGGTTCAACCATGCTTTGCACTAGACCCATCAGGTCTAAAACACATCCGTCCAGTCACATCCATATTATACAAATATAAGATTTTCAACTTTCATATACAAAAGAATCTGTAAGTATATACACACGTGAACTTAAACATCTGTTAGTCCTTCCACAAATGCATCTGTCTGCCATTCTGACGCAAACGGACCAATTCCATCAACAGCTTAACAACAATAATGACAGGTCCATCAATTGTCTCGCTTGCGCAATCAAAACACTCAATTAGACACCTTCACCCACGTGCATGACAATAGGCAGGTCCTGAATAGCATCTGATTTCCAATCAAAGTACATTTTCACCGGACCTGCCCATCGCACGTCCTCTTAGAGGTTCCCTGTTATTACACATAACATCCAGCCTGCACTCTGCGTGGAGAACATTGTGTGGTGACATCCATTTCTGGGATGCCATTTCAAAGAGAGGAAAAGTTCAACTGAATCACTCGCAGTATAATCCCCCTTCTTCGCCCATGCATGCCCTCCACCGCTTCCGGCTGCCCCGAACGTAGGATATTCGGTCCGACCTTCGCTTGACAGGGGTCGGCACTCGGGCGAAAAAAGCAGTTGCGTGTTAAGCTTGGGTACTGAGGCAATAGCATGATTAAGGAGGAGGGAACGTGAAGGAAACAAGCTGAGTAGAAAATTAAATAAACATTGATACCTCATGGGCAGCACAATAGACTGGTGGTTAGCATCCTTGCCTCGCTATCGAAAGGTTTTGGGTTGGAATCTCCGCGATGTGTGACTTGCATTTTCTCCCTGGCAGCCGGAGAGCTCCCCCACATATACAAAGATTTAAACCCAACCCAAAAAAACTGCATATTTGTCCACAAAATATCACAACAGCGCCTTACATCAAAGTTTAGTTGACTTCCTTTCATCAAACTGTCAGATGCGCCGGGGGCAAACCCCATCGGTAAAATGAAGGAGTGCCAATTTCTACGCCAAGCGCCACGTCGACAAAAATGGAGCCCAGAATGTCAACACATTTGGCCAGTTTCACAAACAGATCGTGGAAACATCTGTCTGTCCATTCTGATGCAGACGATATGTAAACATGTATTGATTCACATTTCTAGATAGTGTCAACATGTATCCCTCGATTCACAGAGACAAACAATGTTAAAATCTATCAATACTGTACCTATGTCCATTCCTGTATTGACTGTATCATCATAAAACTCAGAGGACGCAATCCTTCCGAAACACCATGTGGATACACTCGCGGGCAAGAAAGAGACAGCACAACTTTGTACTTCCAGCTGCCATTTGCATGTTTCATGAGGGTGTGGGTGGCGTGCGAGTGCGGCGGGGCTCGCTGATGAACGCCAGTTAGGCAGACACTGTAAAAGGCCAGCTTTGCCTCAGTGCCAGCCTACTTCAGATGCGAGCTCACACAAATGTCACGTGTCGCACAGCAGAATAACTTGTCACCACCTGACTGACTCTTTGACTTTTCCTATCGACGTTTCCTACCACATTTGAATATTTTGGGAAGGACGAAAAAAAATGCCTCACGAGACACTCCTGCATGACTCTTTGACTGTCAGATTGTGGAGGTAAAAAGTCATAGAAGGGAGGTTATGTTCGTGTTTCCCATCAGACTATGAGACTTTCTGATTTCAAATTTCTCGGCCTCTCACTTTATTTTCGACCCTTAAAGGCCATTGTACTTTATGGGCTCCATAGATTCCGTCATCAATTTAAATGTTTCACTTATGCACCTTCATGAAATATATGCACTCTGGGTGGAGCAACTGGATGTGATCAGATTTTTATTTGTTTTTTTCTCATGACAGTCTGAACGGCTCAGTTCCACATTTTTCAAATCTGACCTGGGTTACTTTCATTTGTGGTCCTAGATCGGATGCGTATCCAATTTTTTGCAATGCGATCGCAGTCTGAACAACCGGGTCACATATATCTGACTTTGACGCCATTCAAAGTCCAAAATGCTCTCCGTGCAGGCGGGGGAAGAGTGCGGGGACCTGGGAGATTGAATCTGCAACGTTAATTTGAGTAATGCTATTTCACATGAAGACATTTCTGTTTGTCCATTTACTACTTTTAAGTCTTCTGATTTTCAAATATTAAATTGTCTGCATAGTTATGTGTTCCCTCCACACGTAGAAACAGTGTATCAAGGCGCATGTTGTTAAAAAAAAAAAAAAAAGGTCATTTTGACGGTGCTGAGTAAGTATCTGTCGTGATTCATCACACTGCAATATTTAGCTCTTGTAAAAACACTGAATACCATCTAGCATCCCTCACTGAAATGACATCAACTTCTTTGGGATGGCAGAAGTGGCACACACAAAAAAACATTCATCCCCCCCCCCCCCACACACACACATAGAATGAAACATGAGATTTCAACATAGCGTTGTGGTAGATTCACCCAGTTTTTGTTTTTGTTTGAGTTTAATTTTCTCTCTAGTAAGGAGTCACGCAAAGGACACTTCTTGCGGGAAGTGTTTGACTTGAGTAGAGCAGAGCCGAACACTGCACACTGCATCGCTTAATTCTGCAGGGAGTACATCTTAACATGAATTTCTTCTCTCTCTTATGTTCTTTGGTTTTCTCCTTATTTTTTTATGGGGGGGGGGGGATTCAAGACAAACCAAACAGATGTTACGCTATGGAATACATACCCAAAAATGGTGTCATTTGTATCACTAGTACGGACAAAAAACACAGTGACTGATACAAGCACCTTGTTTTATATTTTTTTTGGGGGAGTCAAGACGACTAAACCAGAGATTCACAACACTGCGTAAATGAGCATGCACAATACAGGACACTCATGCTCTGTCTACTGAGAGTTGCAAGGCTGCCTTTGCTCAGCTTAAGTGCAGCAAAATAGGGTTGATTATGAATCATGTGACGATTGTGAACATCTGAAGAGAACTATCAGCGCACCTCACTAGACCTCATTTCAGCCTGCATCAAAGGATTAACTCTGCCAGTGTGTCAGGCATGTTCATTTGGATTTGGGGGATTTTTTAAAATAATCTGTCTGTCCATTGACACCCACAATGAAAACATCTTTTGGAGTTTTTTTTCACATACTTTCCAAGCATTCATATCCATCTACTCATACAACTTGAACTCAACTCAACTTGATGTTGCACTTTAAAAACAACCATCGCCACTCTACATGGAGTAAAAATCTGACATGAAAAGACAGTTAAAACAATACATGAACATAATATTGAGGGAGGGGTGGCTGACTCCAAAATGAAGTCAATTACAGGAATGCAGCCGAATGTAACTAAGGTGTGGATTACTCTTTCTAAGTGCTGTTGAGAAAGGAGAGGCTTTACCTAAATCCTCTGCCTTAGATTAAAAAAAAAGAAAAAAAAGATTTAACAACAGCACCAAATTGCCGATCCAATTTAAAATCACTGTCCAATTTAAAACCCAACTTCGTGACTGCTGGCTTTAGATAAGGCCCAGGGGGCCTGAGTCAACAGGTTGGGATGTAAAACGGCCACTGGCACCACACGTCGTAACTATGTGTTTTCTTTTCACTGAAATTCAAGAAGTTCAGTGCCATCCAGGTCTTGATTTCTTCCTGGCAGAACAAAATTGTCATCAACGAGAAATCATTGTTTTGCTCAATGGGACATAGATCTGACTGTCTTCTGCAAAGCAGTGAAAGGAAACAACATGCTTTCTGAAGATGGTACCCCGAGGCAGCAAATACAATGAAAACAGCAGGGGCTCCAAAATTGAACCCTGTGGAACCAATCACAAGTACGCCAAATTTAAACATGAATTTTTCCAAATTGGGTGTTTTACCTCACTGTGGGTGTGCACACAGCCATCTTGTTTCACCACCAATTAAAGGGGCTCCTCGCATTCCCTTTCAAATCGGCGCATGAGAGGCGCAGTCCTTGACATCACGGAGAAGAAAGTGATTTGCTGGAGTCCATGCAGGAGGTCCAAGTATTTTTACAAAGAAATACTAGCAGACTTTCATGAGCGGAGGATGTAAAATTGGCCAGGGCGATCTCAGATCTGCCAAGTGGGCATTGATCATTTGTGGTCATGTGTGCAACAAAGATGATGATAATAATAATAATGTATTCAATGAACTGGTATCTGTCATGATTCAGGTTTGATGGATGCCATTGTCATATTTCTAAATGAAATACATCAATATCCACCGCACATGCACACTGTATGTTCTTCAACAGAGCATGAAAAAGCAGGCGAGTTTCTTTTCAGGCCTCCGCTGCTCCACTCGTGGGATATAACCGCATGTCCTTAAGAGGGGTGCACTGTGTTAGGAGCCCAAAGCACAGACATGTTGGCACATCATCACAAAAGAGTTGAAGTGTCCTCGCGCATGCTACTTGACCCCCAAAATGCTTCAGTCGGCCATGCCAGGAGATAAAGAGAGGCGGCTTCACGGGCCAAAGCAGAGCTCGACGTTTTTGGCGACAGTTTATCTTCACACAGTGGAGCGGGTTTGTGTTTTAAGGGACACAATCTTTATTCAGTTTCAAATCTGATTATAATTGTTAAACAGTGAATAATATGGACGTTTTCCCCATATTTGAGAGTCAAATTCCAGTCTATTTTAGGATTATCATGATAGGAGATTTGGTGGAATTGCTTCACAGTGATTTGCCATTTGACCAGATTGCTGCTTAATAACCATTTCAAATGTGATAGTTTTTCGATCAGTAG